GGGGGAAAAAGAACGGTAAAATAATGATCTAAAACGGCACAAAAATGGGACAAACACTTATTTTTTCGTTTTTGTTGAGTCGTGAACCGGTTTTGTTTGTTTTTATTGTGTTTTGTGTCGATTTCCCCATATAAGACTTGATGTGAGTCCAATAGTGCAAATGACTAAGTGGCTAGCTTGGATTGTCGATTGTTTTCATTATTAACTCTCATGCCTTATGTGCTCAATGATTTTGACGGTTTTCATAAAACGAGATGATTATTTGTTGGCATTGGAACTCGCATGTGGATTCACGGAATTTTCTTGTCCTTTGTCCGTTCTTGATTGATGATCTTGGTCATGCTTGCCTTGTGCTTGATGATGCGTAAACGTGTTATGCTATACACTTGAGTTATGCCTTTATTGGATTGTTATGACTATGATATTGTATGTGATGTACTCTTGTGCGCCTTTCCCTTAATATAAAAAAAAAAAGAATAAAAAGTGAGTTCGTGAGGAAGTATGGATTAGACTCCTCTTATTTCGAGCCACTTAGTGGATTGGGATAATGAGCCCGGGAAACCGGTCTAGGAAACTCGAGGAAACCCCTCGAGGTTAAACCTAGGGAATCTCATCCGGAAACCTTGTTTGGAAAGAGAAGCTCACGAAATGAGTTCGTGAGAGTCGAAAGGATTAGGCTCCTCTTGGCTCGGTTAGTCTTCTAGATAAACCGGGTTAAGGAGTACGGGAAACCGGCCTAGGGAACTCGGGGATAGCCCTCGAGGATAAACCTAGGTAATAATTGTCCTAACGGCTCTCATTTGGAAAAAAGTAACTCATTTATTGAAAAAAAAAAGAAACAAAAAAAAAAATGAAAAGAAAATGGGGAATTGGCTCATGGTCTCGTTTTTATCATCTTGTATATTGAGTTGACCATTTTTAGTTTTTTTTGCACGTGTTTATTGTAAAAAGGGAGCTTGACTTGAGTGAATCATGATTGAATAACTTGGGCTTGTTTTAGTTTTGTCGAGTTTATATGTGGGAACCGTACCCTCGAATTTGAGTTGAGTTTTGTGAATAACCGGATGATAATGAGAGTTACATGATGCATGTTAGTTAATCTTGGACCGTTCGATTTCTCCTTTCGAACTACTTGTTATTTTGTTTGCTTGAGGACAAGCAAAGAGTTAAGTGTGGGGGAGTCGTTTATTGTGTTTTTGTGCTTATTTTCATGTGTTTTATATGCCTTAGTCGAGTCTTTTTAGGTTTGTTTTAGTGTCGACCGGTCCATTTTATCGTGTTTTGTGTATTTTTGTTATTGTATAGTGCTTTCGTATTTTTGCGCGTTTTCTCTTTTGTTTTGGTGTTGTTTAGGTCCAACTTGTCGAGAAGAGGAGACGGGCCATCCGAGCCATCCAACCCGAAAAATCCGACCAAGCCATACCGGGACGAAGAGAATTCAATGAGGAGAATTTTGGTCCAAGTTTCGTGCGAATCGGAGTTGTGTGCGAGAAATTAGAGCGAACCGAACTTCAAGGGGTCACCGGGACCAAGCCAATGCACGCCCGCGTGCCCGCGGAACCGTCCGCGAGCTCGGGAGTGTGTCCTGCTGTGCCCGCGCGCCCGCGAAGTCTTCGGCGACCTCGAGAGTGCCCCCGCGCCCATGCACCTGTGCCCGCGCGCCTGCGAATCCTCCCGCGAGCTCGGGAGTGTCCTATTAAATGTGTGTGTTTTTAGTGTGTGTTTGTGGTGTAGCTATTTAAAGACATTTTGCTTTGTATTTTGAGAACAACTCTCATTTCCCAACTTTCAAGTTGGGAAAATCCTCTCTATTTCCTTTTTCTATTTTTTATTTTGGTTTGGAGCTTTATGAATCAAGTTTTCCGGCGAACTTCCGGCGACATTGTTTTGAGCATAGTTTCAAGCTTTTGATTCCGTTTCTTCTCCCGAGTGCATGTTGGAGTGGGTAACTTAGTCTTAAGCCCCATTACCTCGTATATCTTTCTTGATTTGGTAAATTGATATTGTGCTTGTGATTTTGGAAGAAAAGATTGTTGCTTTGGATCATGAATGTTTGACTAAGTGTGATAGGAGTTGAATTCTTGCTCGATTCATGCTAGAGTTTGATTTGACTTCCTAGGGTTTTTAGCGAACATGGCAATGGTTGGATTTTTGCGTGCTTTTGATCATGATGACTCCGGCAAACCAAAATCTCTCTTTCCCCCTTGATTTCTCTCATCTTGTTGCGTGCTTAGTTAATTGCTTTCAATTTCTCTCATTTCGTAGATTAATCTAGTTAAATTCAAACCCTCAAATTGCGAGTAGAATGTTTAGGACCTTTTCGGTTGTGTGACTTAGACGACTAGGTAGTGAACGAAGCTCCGAAGAGCCTTCCTTTGAGAACGACCCGAGTCGGGTAGCTCGGTTACCACATGCCCAAAAATACTACAAACAGATTGTCAGGGACGGATCCAAAAACTAAGAGTAGACTGGACTTAAATTTGAAAAATTCATTGCCATAAAAATCATGTAATATTTTTTTTTTTTCAAATATGACTAAAGTTGTGTCAACGAGCTTCTACAAGAAAAAAAGAAATCATTATTTTCATTTTGCACCTTATTTGATGTGCTTTCACTAGTTTTTACGTAGATTTCATTTTCTAAAGAACGATGATATTAATGATATTTCATTTCTTGGCTGGAGGTTGATGCTCCATGCAGGGGCGGATCTAGAAATTTACATGAGTGGGGGCCCAAGTTATTCTCGGAACTAAACATTCGAACTCTAAGATGAAATTATAAAATAAAAACATAAGTTGCAATTGTATATAAATATTTTTAAAAAATCTCATCTCATCCGAAAATATAGATGAACGAAACAAGAAAAAAATGAAATAAATTTGAAGTTGTTATTATATAGAAGATAAAAATGTACAGATTATAATTAATGTGATTTAATATCAAGTTAGTGAATTAATAATAATTTATTAAAATTATAAAATAAGAATAACTTATTATGTTTTAATTGTGTAGAAAAAAATATGTGAAACAATATAAATAATGTTTTTATGAATATGTTTATTTTCTTAGTTTCAACAAGATTAACTATGATTGAATGAAAATAGTTGGAAAAAAAATTCATATATCCAAAGGGTGTTTCTCTTTTATTTCCTTCTATATTTTAAAATAGATTGAACTCAAGTCATAAATTTAGTTTAAAGTGGAATATGTGAAAATTTATTTGATTATTTTAATTATTAACTAACTAAAAAATAACCATTGAATTAACACAAATAAAAATTGTTCTCCTTACTAAGTAAATAAACAATTATATGTCAAGTTCAAATGTAACCAAAATAGGATAAATAGTGTTTATTCAAATAAAAATACATGACATATAATTATGGATAGAAAAACAAAACCCATTTTATAATTTGAGGAGAGATTCCAAAATAGACCTACACTGAGTAAATTAATTCCTTTGGTGAATTTATATATACCCATGTACTCTTTGAATTTTTTTTTCTTAAAATTCAGTGTGGGTCTAGGCCCATACTAGTCCTTTAGTGGATCCGCCCCTGGCTCTATGTGAATTTCTAAAAATTTCACAATACAAATAAATAGATTTTTCATATGACATAGTTATTAGCTAAATGAAATGCTACACATCATAAATTTATATCCAACCAATATACAACAACTACATTGGAGGATAAGAGATTAAAAAGAAATTACACACACGATTACTACTTCATACACAATCAACAAAATACTATTAAAACCATAAATAGCTCAACTAAAATGAGAATATATATAAAGAAAATTATACAAATGAACAGGCATCTACTAGGGGGTTTACATATATAACTTACTATTAAAGAATAAACTAAATCGTCTTCTTGAAAGTAGTATCTTTCTTGTTGAATTTTTTTCTTCTAAATTCATTGATCTGGGTTCAGATGAGGGGCACGATCGTGGCTAATTTGTTTGATTGGAGTTTGGTATATAGTGGTATTTTGTGGGTTAGTGCCTAGTGGAAAAAGTTGATCAACAATATATAATATTTTTAGAGTTGTGTTAGTAGTCTTTTGATTTAATAGATTAGTGAATTATTTTAGTGTGTTAATATGTTGGTTTATTGGGTTGAACTAGAAATACAATATTTTTTTCCAAAGTAATAGTTGTTAGGAAAAAAAAAAATAAAAAAAAAAAAATAAAAAAAAAGCCTGGGTCTGGACTTCAATCAAGCCCAGGCTTAAGGTAGATCCGTCTACGGTGAGTGTTCAATTTTCTCTTATTTTTTATTTTCATCATTTTAATAGTGTTCAATCCTTTATATACTTCATTTAATTAAAGACAAGTTGTAGAATTTTGTTCATATAGCTATGATTATACATGATCTCTGCATTTTTTTAAACTATAAAAATACATAAAAATAATTATTTTATGGTATATTCATCTATTTTTTTATAAGATAATGTGTATTTTCATTGTATGTCTTTTGTTTATTTTATAAATTAATTTAAATTTATTTATAAAGATAGATTAAATTAATTTTAAACTTGTTTATGTGATATGGATATCAAATCATCAAGAGATGATTAGTTTGATAAATCATATCAAAAAATGGAATACATATAAAAATGTTACCAACTTTTAAAATACAACTCGTATAAAGCCCGTGCGATGCACGATGGTACAATTTTAAAGCTATTTATTCAACTTTATAATTATACACATGAATAAAAAAAAATATACGGGATATATGTAGTGCGTGACCTGTGCAAGGCACATGATATATTTATTTGAAGAATATTATATTATAAGATGCAATATTCAATAAAAGTTTTAATATTCACAAAAATTGTACAATAAAATAATATTCGACAAAAAAACAATCATATATTATTAAAGACCTCCTTGTACACAACATTATGAGTTTGATTATTAGACAACTCGTCATCCTCACAAACTAATATCTTCAACCCCCTTCTATTAGTTGCACTTTGAAAACATAGTGCTCACGTGCAGCATGATCTTAAAATCACCGGATGTCGAACGATACTTCTTTATAATGCTGTCCACTTGATATTTTTTTATGAAAATGACCATACCCTCCTCAAAATTCCTCTCTCTAAGCGCAACCAAGTTGATTGCCCGTAGACATGGCCACGGGCGGCCCGGCCCGTGGCCCGACCCGTGACCCGGTACCGGCCCGGCCCGGCCCGGCCCGG